GGATTGTCCAACTGGGACCTTGATAGTATTTATCGAATATAGGAGACCTTGTACTGGGCCTCCGAACCGAGCGAGAGCTAGCAAGTGGGGTAAAAACCAAGCCAAAGAAATGTCGAGGTATCCAAGGTTCAAAGCGTGGAGATCTCAAATAGGACAGCCAAGGTCCGTTTGAGCCCAGTGTTTTGGAACGAGGTTGATTTGATCTCGAACCAAAAAATACCACTCCAAGACACAACCCTGCATTACTGGCGTTGAAAGTAGCTTGAACAGGCGTGCTAGCACCTAATAAACTCCAAGGAATTTTTTGCTTGATAAGAAACACTCTAGAATGTATTCTCGAGGTCTAAAGCGCGGTAGGGTTTATATCATGGACGTTTCTAGTTTGGGGACGCGACTAAGAGCATTATCCAACTCATCCTCTGATAATAGTATTCAATGACAGGAATGGTGCTGATGTATTGGAGTGAACTTCTCGTGACTGAACAAACGACAACCTCGCAGTCGCATGCGGCAGCAAGAACGAAGTGATGGTCGCGCTGTGTTGATCGAGATCTGTGAGATCCAAGCACCACATTATGGCCGCGCTGGGATGGAGGCCATGTTGTTGGGTCGTGTGGATGTCCGCACCTTAGCCATAATTAACTATTACCGATCAGTGGCCGACCGGGCCTGAGCTTCTTACACAGATCCCTAGATGTTGAAGATTCGCAAGTTGCTCAATCCCTGGCCTCACAATGGCCGGTGCATTAGTGGGACAGCCAATCGCATGCCAGTGCAAGAAGAACAGATAGGCGGGCTTTTGCCTGTTTTAATCGGCGGTCTGTGTTTTAAGCGTTTCTTACACCCAGGGAACGGCGCCATTCTAAAGCCGCCCAACCTCATATATAATGGGATGCATAGAAGCGGTAGTGTTAATCGTTATACTCCCTTTCCAAGCCCACAACACTCAACATCTCTCGTTGATTGTGGCCAGAGCATCTTGCTAGTCACCCTTGTCTAAAGTTGCACTCTCGAGAGCTCAACCGACGCCTGCAACACCTTCTCGCTCTCGCGTTCTTTATATCATCTCCTCTACCCACCCTACTATCCAAACCAACAACATCCAAAATGCTCTCTCTACCCACTGAAATTCTACAGGTGGTTGCATGCCAGCTCTCTCAGTCAGATCTGAAAGTTCTGTCCACGACTTCTCACAATCTACGCGATGCGTTGCTGCCGATGGTCTTGAAGGAGATGAAGGTTGGCTCGATAGAGAAGCTGAGAGAGCTCTCCTCATCGCATCAGAACGTCTTAGGACTCGTCAGGTGCGTTAGCGATTCGGGGCGCAGAGTGTAACCCCTCGTGAGACTGATTATCTACGTCAATAATTCAGACATCTCGATGTAAACCTCAGCCTCGAGTTCTTCGACTCTTGGACGCATGACAGCGGGTCATCAATCGCATCAGTTATCTCCCGAACGCAGCACATCCAGTCGCTCGCGTTCAATGCTTCGAACGAGCCATACACAAACCCGTGGAACCGTCTCAGCATTGCCGATACCAACTGCCGCGGCCTTTCTCTAGGAGTCGAGTCTTCCGACACAGTCCTCCCGGTCTTCGATCGTCTTACACACCTAGACCTTCAGACAATCTCTGCTGGCAGCATCGAAACCCTCCTCTCACGAGCGCCACATCTCTTGTCTCTATCGATTACCCTCCCCGATGGCCTCTCTGAGTTCGAGATGAGCTGTGTCTTGGATGCGTTGAAACACGTTCCGCACCTCAAGGAGCTCACGATGAGTTTCGCTGAGTGGGAATGCCACGACTTGACTGGCCAGGCAACATATGCTAGAGAGGTGTTGACCTGCGTAGCGCAGAGACTGCCGAAGTTGGAGCAGTTGGACCTACGGACAAAGTCGTACGACCTCATCGACGGCACGTTATCCTGGAAATGTGTCGATGCCGATAGACTCTGCCTTAACGTGAGTTTTGCTCTGGGTTTTGAGATTATAACAGTTTCCTGATTTTTGGATTGTTCCCTTCAACAGGACTTTGCCTCCGTCATTCCTCTTTTCCCGAACCTTCGTGTCCTCCGTCTTCCTCTCAGGAGCCGCAAGGGCGACGCCACCGAGACCTCTGCCGAAATCGCCAGGCTATCTCCCAAGCTCGAGGTTATTTCCTGGATGCAATGCATCGGCTTCGAGGGAAAGCTCGACGAGTATACTATCACTCGATCTGCTGATTTGCCGACCTCCGTTGTGCGATTAACTCCACCACCACCATCGCGCCACGCTGGTACCGCACCCGTTGTTAGCCGAGAAGGCCGACATGGCCTCTCCCTGTTCGACACGCTCTTCTCTAGCTTCGTGAACCCCTCCAAGCCATCTATCTTCTCTGACATCGCTGTCACATTCAGCGTGCTCATGGTCGTGGGCTCTACACTCCTTTCTCCCTTCTATGTCATTTTCGGGTGATTTATCGACGTCCATTCCTTCGTCTCTGGGCTGTGCTCCTTTCTCTCTCAATTCTTTGTACTTTTGTTCTTGTCGTCGCTTCGTTCTTGTCTTGTCTCCTTATTTCGTTCATCCTTCGTTGTCCGTAAGCTTATTCTTTTTTGGAAGACTGTGTACCATGAGTCCTGTCCGTGTATGTCGTTAGTTTGTCCGAGAAACCGGGATTGAAGAAATAAACTGGTGATTGTGTTTTAAACACTGCGAGCCGAAAGAAAGGATCGTCGGATCATTAAGATTGGCAAGGGTCGCAATTGGAAACGTGTATTTAAGCTACGAATTGCTCGTCACTTCTATGCCGCGTGGTTCTCCAGGCGCTGGGTCTGCTTCTCCACTGGCCTGTTGCCGCATCCCCCAAAGTTATCATCATTGTCTCTGCTGCCTTTCTTCCTCATGGTTCAGCACTCGGATCGTGACGTGCTGGTTGTCAATTGTTGTGTCGGGGCCCAAGGAATTGTAATACTGCACAGCACAACTGATCATCCAATATATCTGCTCCAATGGCTCTTGGATCGGCTACATAGCAAAATAAACATGTCAGAGCACAAGATCGGCATCCAAGAGATGACCTTGGGCCCAGTGATGTTGGAAAACAGTGGTCCAGGAAGCCCATCGTACATATGGCGTAGTCGAAGTTAATTCATCCGGGTCGGGTTCTCCGTATCCCTAAACGACAACTACGCTCAGATTTGAGGCCCTCTGTCGGGCGTCCGCTTTGTCGAGTTATGCTCCTTGTTCGTGAGCTGATCTCCAAATTGAAGCGTGAACCATGTTCTTCCATCTTCCATCTTCCATCTGCACCAACTTTGGTGGGAGAGCAACGAGCTTCCCGACTCCACAGATGCGAGAGGGATCGAGGTGGTAGTGGAGGTGTCTCAATCGTCGACCAAGATAACGTTGAAAAGGGTGAGCTACAGATGCGATGGCAGACTCTGGACCGACGCAACGCTCCAATGTGTTGGGTGTATGAAGAGCAGGGGCGATCCAGCCCATCCGCCCTCGCCGGATATCTTATGGCAACGGCAGCCATTAAAATATCTGGGTTATTGACCGACTGTGACATGTTACAGTCCAAGCTGACCCAACACACGGTGTAGCTGAGAGCCCTGGTCGCGACGGATAGGCCCCTATGTGGCCTATTATACTCAGCTGTGTTTCGATTGCTCGCATGTTGCCCAAAATTATCCTTGCCCGAATTTTATCTTATATTATAGTTCATTTATGTAGAGGTTTGATGGTTTTATTCAGCGGTTGGAAATCATGACGATCTACATAAGTGATATATATATATATATATATTACCTATCGTTAATTCTCAATAAGTCGCTTTGCCGGAGTGGTTAACGGGTTCGCCTGCTATATCTCATAGCTTTGATAGCGGATGCATTTATGCGCGTGTGTTCGAATCGCACAGGCGACGACATCTTTTGCCGCTACTTGTGGCTCTCATTTTAGTACATACTGAGAACTACCATAGGCAGTCTATGTAAGATACCGTTGTTCCACAATTACCCCAAACTTATCCTTCCTCCTTCTTCCTCCTCAGGAAGTCCGCAAACCGAGGGGATCATGAGGTCCGTAGGCGTTCTCCACAGTCTCAAACTACTTGCGCGCACTCTGAACCTCGTGGTAAATTGTATGCTCATCCTTTGACGCAAACATGATAGACTAAAGGTCCAGTTACTCGAATTAGGTCGCGGTCTGGACCCCTGGTGACAGCTCCGCGCGGTTACCGCAAGTACTAGTTAAAAAATGACGCAGAAAGCAAGCTTAAGGGTGGAGTCAACGTTAAATATGTACTCAACGAATTGAATTCCACAACAGTCTTTTTTTAAATCTCAGCATTCGTATTATGTGCGATTCATCTTGTTGAATCACTTTGCGAAGTTATCAGAATTAGAGAGGTGCCACGACACTTCTGCTCGGGCCCTAGGGCGTCGGTTGGAATAAACGCAGATATTTTATATCTCAGCCTAGGCTTACAGTATATCGCCGTTCTTTGAAATCGTGCCGCTCCATGAAATGACCGCTCACCTCTCCCCCATCTTTGCCTCAATCACTACAAGATTTGGCTGATATCTGCGCACATGTATTGTAAATATACAGGCCAAGTTTGATGACAGTCGCAAAGAACTGAACTGTAGAGAGCAAAATATATGCTGTGAAAGAGTGAATGTGAAATCATTCCCAACTGTGATCACATCCAGAGACAACACCCTGAATATCTTGCCTGGTACGACTGCCACTAACGGAAGGTTTCTTCAGGCTCTCTGGATAGTACGAGACTTTTGATGTATGAAATTCGAAGGTGCTGGCCTTAGTAATGAGTCTGTTATGCATGGGCAATGTGTGGATCATTTCAGGGAGTGAATCACGCTACAAATTTACAAGTATATAGGTATACATCGCCCAGAAGTGTCATAAAAGTTTTGTATGCATCGGCCTTGAAATAAGGCGGCGGTGAGAGGGGTTTCAATTGCTATTTTAGAGAGCGGTGATATGTTGTAGGGAGTCGCTTTGCCAGAGTGGTTAACGGGTTCGGTTGCTATTTTCTATGTCAAGTCCGAATGCATTTATGCTCGTGTGTTCGAATCGTACAGGTGACGATATTTTTTCTCGCTGCTTGCGAAAATCGCCACTATCGTTTATGATCGTGTTAATACAGCACTGGTCCTTTGAAGTAAATATGATGGGCCTACCAGTTACTCGAGTTGTCAACGTCGCGGTCGCCAAACTCCCTGCATGGCTGTTGGTTAGATGTTTCTAAAGCGGTCGTGTCACAACAACGGATCACACCATTCTTTATGAACGTTACTCAGTTAGACCAGGCATTAAGTTGGGCGTTCAGATTGGAGACCAGAAAGTTGTTCTGCGCGGCAAGTCGGGAGTGCAGTTCCGGGCGTATTGATTCGCTACTTCATGCACTGCGCGGTACGGTGATTACCCGAGGCGGGGGTATCATGGCCACAGCCCCCCTAATCAATCCATGAATGTCAATGAGGTTCTACATGATTGATCAGGACAGTGATATTACTTGACGTTCAGTGCCGGCGGGGCTGGGGTGATCGTGGAGATCTTGGGTGTCGTAAGGAAACAACCGTAACACCATGAAACGCATTAGAAACAAGTTCATCGACGACAAATGATGTGGCTCATTGAGGCTTCAACAGGAGTAATGAACCTTGACGACCATATAAGGACATTATTCCGGCCCGGCCCTGGAACAGACAACGGTGAGAAGTGATCGATGGTGGCAAGAACTCGGTCGAGATCGCGACCGTGGTTTTCTTTCCTGCCCAAGCAACGTACCGCGTTCTCTGTAGCCTTTGTGAGCAAAGTAACCATCACTGACCCAACGCGCTACAGCTCCGACGAGGCTTCTTTGATTTTCCGATCACCATTTGTACATAAGATTTATGGAGAACGCGCCTCCACATCCCTCAAACCTTCGCTACTACTCGTCCCCTCTTACTACTATGCAGTTCATCAGTCTTAACGACGCATCGCAAATGAATATGCCTGCTGTACAAGACGAACAGCAGGTTGAACCCTCTAGCCGACGACCATCAGCCATCAGACCTCGGTCGATTACGATTGACAAAGCTACGGAACCTCGGATCGAACTCGAGACTGGGGGCTTTACTCCTAGTCCCAATCATTCCACCACAACCATGCCTGTGTCCCAACCCACCGAGTTAAATAAGTCTGCTCGATCGGCCATCGCGAACGGTCACCACCCACATCCGTCCAGGAAACCCGCTGCGCCCGTTTCGCCGTGCTTTGTACACTCCCTGCTGGACAAGGGTGCCTCTTTGACGGATTGGCTGCAGGAAACTGGAGGGCGAGGCAATGAAACTGGCTACTTCAACGACGAGCAGCAACCACCAAGCCCAGTGCCACATCAACCGCCAGCTTCATCCCAAAATTACATATCATCCCCATCGACCGAAAGTATGCACTCCTTGGGATTAACTTCAGAGTATGATGACGAAGAAGATAATGCTGGCAAACTCACGAGGCAATTGGCGGCCACTGCAGTGGGTGTCCGTGAGATGAGTAAACAACTAGGCACGTTTTCTGCATCACGATTACTGCTGCGCAGTGATTAATGGATAAACTTAACCTCAGGTCGAGCGAGGGTCAAGTCGAACATCCAGAACATCATGATCATCACGAAAGCAAGAGACAATCGATTGATCAAGCTCACACGGGATGTCGCAGTCCATCTGATGTCCAAGCCTAAAGGCGAGAACGGGCGAAGTATTGTTGTTTACGTTGATGCTCAGCTCCGAAATTCGAGGCGATTCGACGCCGCAGGATTAGAGCAAGAGCGTCCAGAGTTCTTCCGTCCTCAACCACGCCGCTCCTATTCTGTATCTTCCAGTGATTCTGGATCTACCACTGATGGGAGAGCTGCTTCAAGATCGCACGATGAAGGCCAGCTGCGCTATTGGACGAGCGATATGTGCAGTCAGACCCCCCACCTCTTCGACTTCGTCGTGACTTTAGGTGGTGATGGTACCGTTCTATTTACTTCTTGGCTCTTTCAGAGCATCGTCCCTCCGGTTCTACCATTCGCCCTTGGCTCACTCGGCTTCCTGACCAACTTCGACTTTGCGGATCATCAGCACGTCTTAGACAATGTCCTCGAGTCGGGCATCCGCGTAAACCTCCGTATGCGGTTCACGTGCACCGTGTATCGCGCTGTAAAGCGCGGCGAAGAAGCCGCACATGGATGCAAGCAAAGTAAAGCCATGAAGAAGGGTGATACCGGAGAGATTTGGATGCGGACGATGGAGGAAGGTGGCTGGGAAGCGCTCGAGGGCCATAACCAGACCAGCCCGGCTTTACATCCGAACAAACCAAAGGATCGGGAGATTATGTGCTACACGACCAGACCAGTCGAGACCTTTGAGGTGCTAAATGACTTGGTTGTCGATCGTGGTCCGAGCCCTTACATGAGCTTGCTGGAACTTTTTGGTGTGTACACCTTACTTTGGTGTTTCGAACTGACTCATCACTGATGTCGTACGGCATACAGGGGACGAATATCACATGACCACTGTACAAGCTGATGGATTAACAATCTCTACGCCGACGGGATCCACGGCCTACTCTGTGCGTGATTCTGACCGCGCAATCTCGGTTCCATCCTGATTATATCTCGTTAATAGCTATCCGCTGGAGGCTCCCTCGTTCATCCGGAGATCCCGTCGATTCTGATCACTCCAATATGCCCTCACACACTCTCCTTCCGACCTATGCTCCTTCCTGACAGTATGGAATTGCGCATCTGTGTCCCATACAACTCTAGAAGTACTGCATGGGCGAGTTTCGACGGCAGAGGGAGAGTTGAACTACGACGTATGTACACTCGTCCTTATGACTCCAGTAACAATCACTTACATTTATCGATACTACTCAGAGGGAGACCACATCAAGATCACGGCTTCCAGGTTCCCCTTCCCAACTGTTTGTGCCGATTCGCAGTCATCAGACTGGTTCAAGGCGATATCGCGAACACTCAAATGGAATGAGCGCGAGAGGCAGAAGTCCTTTGTCGTGGTAGAGGAAGGGCCGGACGGACAACCCAAACGGAAGAAGACCAAGAAAGCGAGTCGAAAGGTGGACTCGACCCCGAGTGCAAAGACGAGGGTACCTGTTGAGGGCGATCCTGCTGCAAAAGCAGAGACACCATCAGAAGAAGATGAAGAAGTTATGGATGAGGAAGACGAAGTGGACGAGGATGAGGAGGAAGTAGAGAAGTTCGACATCGATGATTCTTCTCCGGAGGCTGCGAAGAACGGTGAAGCTCAAAGACTTTTAGCGCTGGGCGGCTCCTCAGGCGTGGAAGCGACCTCTGCAAGCCACAAGAGAGGAGGGGACGAGACTAGCTGGAATCAATCTGGTTCCACCGACTCGCTCAGTGACAGTCGCAGTCCGACGTCGCTCGCTCAGCGTGCTGCAGTAATCCTGGGAGGAGAACGCAAGATGTCATCACAATCGCACTCCAGCGGTATTGAGACACCTGGTCGGTACATCGGCGGCTCGCCCAATCCTCCAATTGGCGGCCCCCACCACCACCACCACCCTCGATCACCGTTACAACACCGCCAGCACCATCATCTGCAGCATGATGGGACGGGTGCAGGCGACCCTGCCTCGCCTTCTCCCTTCTCTCCGGCAGTGGCTTTGAACTCTCCCGATCCGAGGACGCCTCGGCCGCATGATACAAAATTGTCATCGCGTCTTGTACCAGGGAAGAAGACACCGAAAGAGGAACGGCCCTCCCATCGACGGGGTAGGAGTATGGGTGATACCTCGACATCGCGACGGACAGCGGCATTTGCTGTTTATGGCCATGACGAGAGCGATAGTAATACCAGCGATTGATGCACTGGCAAGGATTATATGGGGAGGCTTGTGTATAATGTGTACCTGTATTATTGTCACGATTTCGCTTGTATTGAATTGATGCTTGTTGCTGAATTTGGACATTAGTCGTTTCGTGTGCGAAGGCTATACGATTACATATTGACGGACGCTGGACTCTCGATTCTTGATGCGTTGTACTTCGATCGATTCCGAAGCTCCACCTCCAATCTAGGTCGTGAGTTTTAGTTAAGGAACGAGTATCTGTCCGTTGGCGTGCGTCGTCTCTGGGTTGGGTCGGATGACCAATGCTACCCTACAAATATAATCATTGATCGCCGAGTCAGGACCACGTGTAATGGTACCGTTACAATGGCCACGTTTCACAAGAGGTCAGGGATGTCACGATCGATGTCGAACTTCAATGTGGGGAACATAATGGGGGACAGCGATGGATGCGGTGGAAGCCACTCATGACAGAGGACTATAAATATTTGTATGACATTTTACGGTGTGGGTTGGAGGTGCCAAGCAGCCGGCTGAGGTGGCCACGCAAGCCCCATACCTACATCTCAAAAATACAAAAGATGGCTGTGTCCTCTGCTTCGGCCACTTATTGCTGTCGTGTATGCAAGCATCGAGATCTTGTCCATCGTTAGGATCAGCGGGTCATTCCCAATACTAGATCATAACGGCTTCACATGTTTATTGTTCCCTCTGCATGCATAATGTTATCGCCATGGCCATAGGTTGAATTTCAAAAGCAGGAGTGGTGGAAGCGTCGCCGAGCTCCGCGTTCCGCCTCCATGGCAAGCTGGTGCAATCAAGTTCCCCTGTTCGACACCACGATCTCAATCCTCCCCGACTTTTCACGCACCTGCCAGACCAGACTATCACCACTATGTCAGAACTCTGCCCAGTTTATGCTCCCTTCTTCGGTGTCATGGTATGCGCCTATTTCATCGTCGTTCTTCCGCCTAATCTGATTATTGTTCTCACTGACGTACGTCCTCCGCCTGTTGGTTTGCGCGATTCATAGGGGGCAACCTCAGCCATCGTCTTTACTTGTGAGTTTACATACAGTTTCTCATAGCCTAGGCAACAATATTCTGATTTGTCTGGGCTTGTCTAGGTCTCGGTGCAAGGTAGATTTAGCGGTTGCCATTTTGCAGTTCACATCTGAATAGTCCACACTGATCCCGCCTCGCTTCATTTGCGCAGCTACGGCACAGCA